ACGTGCGGGGGCGGCTCTGCAACGCCTGCGCCGCCGGCACCTTCCACCTGAGCGCGGCCAACCCCGAGGGCTGCCTGCAGTGCTTCTGCATGGGCGTCTCGCGGCAGTGCGCCAGCTCCGCGTGGAACCGCCACCAGGTACCCGCGCCGTAGTGCCGCGTCGTGCCATGCCGTGCCATGCTATGCCATGTTGAGCTACGCCATGTCGTGCCACGTTGTGCTGTGCCATGCCATGTTGCGCCTGGCCATGCTATTTTATGCCATGCTGTGCCACGCTATGCCATGCTGTGCCACGCTATGCCATGTTTTGCCATGCCATGCCATGTTTTGCCATGCCATGCTGTGCTGTGCTGTGTCATGTCTTGCCATGCAGTGCCACGTCATGCCATGCCAAGTTGTGCCGTGCTGTGCCACTATATGCCGTGCTGTGCCGTGCCGTGCTGTGCCATGTCATGCTGTGCCATGTCACGCCATGCTGTGCCTTGGCATGTCTTGCCATGCCATGTAGTGTCATACTGTGCCGTATTGTGCCGTGTCATGCCATGTTTTGCAATGCAGTGCCATGCTGTGCTGTGCCATGCTGTGCCATTATGTGCCGTGTTATGCCACGCTGTGGCATACTGTGCCATGTTGTGCCATGCCTTGCCATGCCATTACGTGCCATGCTGTGCCATGCCATGGCATGTTGTGCCATGCTATGCAATGTTGTGCCATGTAGCGCCGTGCCATGTCATACCGTGCCATGTTATGCTGTGCCATGCCATGTTTTGCCATGCTGTGCCATGCCATGTTAGGCCATTCTGTGCCATTATATGTCATGCTGTGCTGTGCCGTGCCATGTCACGCCATGCCAAATTGTGCCATGTTGTGTTGTCCCATGCCATGCCGTGCTGTGCCATGCCATGCCGTGCTGTGCCATGCCATGCTGTGCCCCCCACCAAGCCCCTTCCCGTTCCCCTTCCAGGTCCTTCTCACCGCCGAGGAGACGCCGCCGCTGAGCCTGGCCAACCTGGCCGGCACGCAGACGGTGGGCGACGGCGCCCGCTTCTCCTCCCCGCGGGAGCTGCTCTTCACCGCCTTCCAGGCGCTGCCCCGCGACGTCTACTACTGGGTGCTGCCCGCGCCCTTCACCGGGGACAAGGTGCCAGCACCGGGGCCGGCTGGGGGACAAGGTGGATGTCCCCAAGCCCGGCTGAGCCTCGCCGCGTCCCGCCCCACAGGTGACATCGTATGGCGGTGAGCTGCGGTACACGGTTACGCACCGGGCACCGGTGGGCGCCCAACCTTTGCTGCGCCAGCCCGACGTCCTGCTGCAGGGCAACGGCATCCTCCTGGAGCACTTCTCCGATGCCAGCCCTGCCTCTGGCGTCCCCACCACTGTCACCGTGCCCTTCCGCGAGGTGAGGACCGGTGGGTGTCCCCCACACCCCGGGATGGGGTTGGGGACACGGTGGTCACCCCCCGGTTGTGCCCGCAGCGTGCCTGGCGCCGGGCGGACGGGCGCGATGCCACCCGTGAGCATCTCCTGATGGCTTTGGCCGACATCGACCTCTTCATGATCCGGGCGTCCTACTCGGATCAACCGGAGGAGAGCACCCCCCCGGCCGTTTGGCCGATGTCAGCGTGGACGTGGCGGTGCCACATGCCACTGGCCGCCCGCCAGCGCTGGAGGTGGAGGATTGCGCCTGCCCAGCTGGTTACCGCGGTGCCTCCTGCCAGGTGAGACCCTCGGTATCCCCTCACCCCGGCGCTGGGGACACTGAGCGGTGGCCCACCCTGCTTGTCCCCGTGTCCCCTCCATAGGACTGTGACACCGGCTACACCCGCAGCACCTCCGGGCTCTACCTGGGCACCTGCGAGCCGTGCCAGTGCCACGGCCATGCCAGCGAGTGCCACCCTGAGACCGGCGTCTGCCAGGTGAGCTGGGGACAGCAAGGGGACACCCCAGGGACCCCCGTGGCGGTGCCACTGACACTGTCACCCCCTCGTCCTTTGCAGGGCTGCCGGGACCATACAGAGGGTGCCCAATGTGACAAGTGCCAAACCGGCTACTATGGCGATGCCACCCGCGGCACCCCAGGCGACTGCCAGCCCTGTCCCTGCCACGGACCCCACGGTGACACCCAGTAGGTGCCACCTCCCGGTCCTCTCCATCCCTGAGGACACCGGCAGGGTCTCACCCATCCCCTTGTCCCCTCCGTAGGGTGACCAAGAGCTGCTTCGAGGACACGGACGGGCAGCCCACCTGCAGCGCCTGCGCCCCGGGACACAGCGGGCGCCTCTGCGAGAGGTGCCAGGGGAATCCGGGCGGGGGGGTGGTTTTTTGGGGTGCAAACCCCCCTCATTGGCTTTTTTTGGTACCCCCCCCATTAGGTGCTCGCCCGGCTACGTGGGGGACCCGCTGCGGGGAGAGCCATGCCGAGGTGAGTGTCACGGGGAGGGGACGAAGCGGTGTCCCCCGCGGTGGCACTGAGGGGGGGGTCGTGCCTAACTGCTGTCCCCCCGCCCCGCAGAGCCGGGCGTCCCCAGCGGGCAGTGCCAGTGCGACCCACGCGGCAGCGTCGGCGAGGGCTGCGACACCAACGGGCAGTGCCGCTGCAAGGTCAGCCCTGTCCCCCCCGCCGCCTCAGCGTGTCCCCAAGCCCTGGGAGGGGGTGACAGGGCGATGTCACCCACCCCGTGTCCCCCCACCCAGGCCAACGTGGAGGGTCCCCGCTGTGCCACCTGCCGTCCCCACCATTTCCACCTGAGTGCCAGCGAGCCGGCCGGCTGCCTGCCCTGCTTCTGCATGGGCATTGTCCAGCACTGCGCCAGCACCGCCTACGCCCGCGGCACCGTGAGTGTCCCCCCCGTGTCCCCTGAGTGTCCCCGTATGTCCCCGACCCTGCTCACTCACATCCCCATCCCGTAGGTCCGGACGCCCTTCGCTCCCAGTAATCCCCAGGGATTCGCCTTGGTGAACCGGCAACGCAGCACCCGGGTGGACACCGGCTTCAGGGTGGAGCCGGGCACCCCCCAACCCCGCTTGACCTACAGCCATTTCGGGGAGCTGCCCCCTGACTCCTACTACTGGCAGCTGCCGC